CTGATTCGACTGGTCCTGTGTGGAGCCAGGAATTGGACTAGATCCTTATGGGTCCCTTCCAGCTCAGGATATTCTATGATTCTAATTGCTGATTGCTTTAAAAGTATTTTAAAAGCAGGATCCTGGTGATGATTGTGTGCAGAAGGCCTGAGAAGAGACCAAAGATTTATCACCAGACAATATATCTTAATAATCGCTAATACTGTAAAACTTGCTTTTGCAAACATTCAATTCTGTTTCAGATTTATGATGTTTTCATTCTTGATTCTCAGGGTGAATCTTATGAGGTGTCTGTGAAGGAAGAAGATGGGTAAGTAATTTCTTTTGAATGATTACTTAAGCTATCTCCTATTCTTGCATAGTGTCATCTTCAGATGAAAGGAGGCTACAGCTTAAACTAGTTCATTTTGAAACCAGGAATAAAGATTTTAATTGGCTAAAGATGACTAAAATATGAGGAAGAATTAATAAAATTATAATGCTTTTAAATTTGTTGGTAAGAGTTCAGCATAGAATAGGTGGTAGGTAGTCATGGGGTATAACCAGTCACAATGTTTTTCCTAATGTTGATGCTTCCTACTTTTGATACTGAAGAATCCCTCTATCTTGTAACCTTTATCTATAATACGTACACGTTTGTGTGACACATTTCTAACACAGTTATGCATTTACCAGTCCTCTGGTAAATGAAACAAGCAGACAGTAATTAATTTATTGATCGGCTTGCAATGATTTTCCGAAGGGCAACATTGCCCCCTACTGATCAGTGAGCCACAATGCAAGCACTAATTGCAGACACATGATAAAGAGGTTTTAACTGACTGTTAATTACGAGTCACAGAAGGGACAAAATAATGTTTCGGCTGAAAAATCCCTGAAACAGTAGCTCTGTGAAAATAGAAGTTATCGAATTAATGATGCATATGACGTTCATAATCATGTGCAGATGTAAGGGATACACTTAAGAGACCTCTTCGAAGTCAAATATTTACAACACAAGTAGATGTAATAAGCCTAACATGGTATTAGGGTCATTTTGTCTAAAACATGTTAAGTTTAAGTAACTGCTTAGAGCCCTTCTGTTTTTCAGGAAACACATACATAGCAAGAGAACGTGAAGAGATGTCCAAATTTCAGAGCTCAATGTGAAAGTTTGAATTCAGTTACATTCCTTGTTTTTCATCAGCAGAGAATTTGACTCATTTAAATTCCTCATGATTGTGTGAAATAGTTCAGGACATGATTCTGGTCTAAAATCCCCACAGAAAGGCAGAAATACAATGCCTGTGATATCCATATACCTGCTTTCATTTGCATAGGGGAACTTTCATGTGCCTGGAAATAGCCTTTCTTTAAACTGGCTTATTGTTGTTGCTGGTTTTGCTTGATGTCTCAAGCAGTAGCCCTAGAAATGGCTTACAGGTAACATGTCTTGCTCTGTTCTTATGCTCTAGTTGCAAGAATTTAGATTTGCGGTTGGGGTTTGATCTATGCACAGAGGAGCAGGATTTCATATGTAAAAGGAAGAAGGTGGTTGCTGCTGCTCTGAAAAATGTTCTTCAGCTAGATGAAGACCTGCAGGAGGATGAGGTATGTGGGACAGCATCTTGGGAACTTTGAACAAGGTGGATGTGATGTACTTGCATGACTTAGGCATATAGCTCTTCCATATCTTCTAAACTAAAATGTATAGGCCAGATTGTCACTTGCACCTAAGACCATATCCAAGACTTTTTGGCAGAGGATGAAAGAGGAACTGTCAGGAGGTCAGTTATAGCTCCTTTATTCTCTGCTAACCTCCATCCTCACTCAGGGGCACCCAAAGGACTTATTTGTTGAGAGGAACATATGTAGAACCAAGCATGATGAAATTTGGTTGCTTGGACTGAGACCATCTCTGAGACATTGGACTGAGACAGTTTGGCACCAGTCCCCTTCTCAGCTCCTACACAAGGCTCAAGGAGGAAGGCTGCGACTCTCCCTTAGAGCACTGGTGCAGCAGCATCTGTCTTGTGTGTTTTTCAGTGCGTTACCTCTTGCTTTCTCCTCTCCTGGGGATCCCTGGACTCAGAGATAGCTACTCTGTTGCTGCAGGACAATAATCTGTTACAGGGCTGTGGTGCTTGGAGCGGGTTTCAGAGAGACACTCTTCTGCAACTGAGAGAACGTGGCTGTGTGGGATTTCCTCCGCTGCTCTGTTCAGCTCCCAGCACACCCATCTCTTGATGCTGTGTGCAGGACAGTATTTGTCAATCAAGTCAAAGTGCTCATGAACTTAAATAACAAGTAAAGTAGGACTTGTTATTATTAAATGAGAATAAAGAGTTATTAAGTCACATTAATTTAAAAAAAACCAAAAAACAAAACCCCCAATGTAGATGGTAAAATGCACTGAAGACAAGATATGAGGTAATGGCAAGATATGTTTCTAAAACTGAATAAATACGACTCCATTTTCATTAGGAGCTACGTATGGGGCAAAGGGAGGATGCCTAACAGAATTGCTGTATCCCTGAGGAAAGTAAGACCAAATTGCATATAGCATTAATGTCAGGGAAGGGGGAGGTAATCTGAGTAACAATGGAGATGTGAAAATAAACCTGTAAAGCTTGGCACCATCTGCCTGGAAAATAGCAAATGTTGTATATAAACTCAGAGGAAGAAAAAATTAGGAAGAAAAAAAACCATAGGCAGCTTTTGCTCTGTCCCTCTGACCTCAGTCTTACTCAGGATTTTAAAATGTAAAGAGTCTTTTCTGGATTTTTTCAACTCTGAAAATAGATTATGCCATACAAGAGCCATGTTTACAGCTTCTGACTTACCAAAGCATTGCTGATCGGGAAGATGCTTTCAGCATATGCTAAGTTCCACCAAAGTTTACACAACTCAAACACACACCTAAGTGCTGCCATGAAGAAGGTGAACTGAGTCCAAACCTACCTGAATCAGGGTGTTGCTGTGACTTTTTCTGCATGTCCATCACTTCTCTATTTCATCTGGCAATGAACAACTCTGTGCCTTTGTGTGTTGAGCAGGTGCCAGTGGTGGCAGTCGTGACCACAGCAGGGGGAGTGCGGTCCATGACGGCTATGTTTGGCAGTCTTCTGGCTCTCCAGGAGTTAGGTGTTTTGGACTGTGTCTCATACATCAGTGGTTTATCTGCCACAACATGGTAAGGAGAGTTGGGCTTGTGCTTGCTGTTTGTGTTAGCAGAGTGATAACCTGGTGAAGCATATTGCCTTGCTGACGAATTTTACTCAGCATGATGCTAGTTGGGACTTGGCTGCCTTTTGGTGCTCACCCATTTCATGGGACTGCACAGTGCTGTAGCCTTTATTTCTTCTAGCTACAAGAAGCAAATTGAGTTCTCCTGAGGGCTGGTCTTGTTTCTGTCATAAACTCAGTGCCTGGTGCAGAAAATGGGTGGGAAACGTGGTTATTTTTTGACAAAAATATCTGCATGACTCTGCTCCATTTCTTGTTTCCCAGTTACCTGGCAGAAAAGATTCTTATGTTAAGATGGGGGGGGGTGGGGGGGTGGGGGTGTAGAGGTATCTCAGTGTTTCAGTTTAAATGAAAAGTGGTTATTTATGGCTATCAACAAGGGACTGAATAGGGCTTGGTAGGCCAAAAACTTGGTGTTTTCTTGGGAATGTAAGAAATAAGTATTACTTCCTGGGGGAGAAGTAAACCTTTTGATTGCAAGTGAAGACAAATCAGATGTTAGTCATGAGTCAGAGAAGATGCTGCATATGTGCAAGAGAAGCAATGCAGCTGGAGTCCTGGGGACTTGAATCTCAGAAAGGACACAGACCTGATTCCCCAAGTGTGCTTGAGAGCCCTTCCTTTCCCTTCCTTTGTGTATCTCTTGGGTTATCTACTTGCATGTAACACTTCAGAAATCCTCTTGTAATATTTGTCTGGCTCAACTCTTATGCAGATCTGAAAAGGAGAATTTAAAGGAAAAGCCCTGAGAAACAGTGTGTCATGCACACAATGTTGACTTCCTTGCATGACTAGCAGGGGTCTAGGGCTTTAAAACGTTTTGCCTCTGGAGGGCTGCTCTAAAGAGGCATGAGACAGAACTAGAACAAGTGGGGTGGGGATGAGAAGGGGTGACTGGAATCTGCCCCCGCTCTGGGAACTAAAATCTCAAGGACACTCTCCCTGTGTGTGACCAAGAGTCTGAGGTGACCCACCTGCTGCATGCCCAAGGACGGGAACTCTCGCACTTGTCGAGGTGGATGTTTTCTGCTAAAGTCCTGCTTAACGTCTCGCGTAGTGTCTGAAACAGCTGAGGGAGCTGGCCTCGGACAGAAGCTGTGGCTTGAACCTGGACAATCAAAGGTTAATTCTAGTAAAAGCTTGTGTTAAGTTATGGGTGTTGCTTTTTTACTCTTTTAATTCTGAGAAGAAACAAGCTAGGATGATTTTGAATATATCCCTGCAGCAAAAATGTCATTGTATAGTCTAAATTCTGCCTGAGCTTTGAACTGCTCTTTCAAGGTAAAAGTTGGTGGGCAAGAGCCCCGTGTATCCTGAAGCGAAACGCTTGTGTGGTATAAGCCCATGAATTGTCATGTACCTAGTGCCGAACCACAGTATGTTTCTTTTTACCAGGACCATGGCAAAGTTATATGAAGATGCAAATTGGTCACAGAAGGATCTCAGAGGACCAGTCGGTGATATCAGGAAACATGTGATCAAGAGCAAGTTGCACTGTTTCTCATTGGATCATATGAAATACTATGAAAAGGAGCTTTGTGAAAGAAAGCAAGAGGGGCATAAGCTGTCCTTTACAGATTTATGGGGACTCTTCATTGACTGTATGCTGCATCATCAGGTATTATATATCCATACCTTATTCCCAAGGATTTCTAACTTTTCATGTCTAAAGTTCTAGATTCAGTTATAGGAAAGGCTCTCAAAACTTCTGAGGGTGTCTGTCTGGCTTTTTAGAAGAAAAATAATACAGTAAGCCTAAAATGTAAATGTCTAGGGGAAATGTCTGAGCATGTAAAAAGTCAAGGTGTTAAACTGATTTTCCATCTTTAAGATCAAATGAGCATTCTAGTAACATACAGAGGAGAGATGGCTCTGACTGAGCTAAGTTCAGGCAGTGCAATATATACCTATACCAGCAAACAAAGCTGTATTGATTGAAATGGGCCCTGGTTGACTTTTATTTGTAGCACTTCCAAGGTAGCTAAATATCTTTATCTTTCATTAAAGCAAGTCATACCCTAATCACTGTGCAGACAAGTTTCTCACATTTTCACTCTATCCCCCATTCCAAAACTCCTGGAAGCATCAGTTATAATCCTTTGGCAAAGGTTAATGACAGGTAACTCATGAATAGGTTTGTGTGGTTGAACTGTAGTGCACAGAACAATCTGCTGAGGTTTAGGAGATGTTTCATTGATAGTCCATGCTTAGATACCATATTAAGTCCATGTATCATGTTTGTCTTTTACCATGGCTTCTGTTCTTTATAAATAGGGAAGTACTCACAAACTCTCTGATCAGCAACTGGCAGTAAATCAGGGGCAGAATCCACTGCCCATATACCTGTCCCTCAATGTCAAGGATGACTTTAGCACTCTGGATTTTAAAGGTAATGATTATTATACACACTTATAAATCTAAGGAGTTTCCTTTTAGTGCTGTGTGAATGCCAGAAGCTTTTACCGTAAATCCAAGCTAATAAATCTTTTAAATAATTTTTTCTCCCCATTTTCATATCTGGTTTCTGACTTGGATGAAAAACATGCATCCTAATGCTCTGGTAGGGAGATACCTGTTGAGGGGTGGAGATGCCTTTTGCTGGCAGCCTTGAGAGCCATGACTGCTGCTCTTTCTCTCTCTCATCCCCACCTACTCCTTACAGCCTCTTTCAGCTGCTGGGGTTCCTGCTCAGGCAGCAGTAGTCCAACAGAGCTGTGAAGAGCCGTGGAAGGAGGGAAGGAAGGACAAGCGAAGATTGGCGGGGGGGGG